AGGAAACACATAGACTATTATGGAGATTGATTTTGGAATTTAGATGCACTCTTATTGATTGTGCTTGGCTGTACATGTTCATATCCTTGAAGATTCGTTATTATTTTTCAAATAATTTCATCAATATCAACATAAAGTCAATGCTCCCTAAACCAAGCTGTCTCCTTCCTCTTCCTTATTACCCCAATAACCACTATTAATCTTTAGGTTATATATGACTGAGACCATAGTATACTTGTCCTTTTGCAACTGACTTCTTTCCTAATGTGATGTTTTCAAGCTTCATCCTTGTTGAAACCTGATCTAAACTTCATTTCCCATTATGTCTGAGTAATAGTCCATTAAAAGAGAGCTTTGATGGCTTCATGGGTAAGCAATTGCACTGCCAGCCCAAAGGCACGCAGTTTGACTCCACCAGCTGTTCCATGATGGGCAATCTCCTCTTGTGTGATTTACAACCTCTAAAATCCCACTGGAGAATCAGCTATGAGTTGGTTCCATCTCCATGGAACATAACAACACAACAATATTCCATTGTGTGGATATGTCACAGGATTATTTGGGTTTTAAAAATCTGTTGACGGGCATTTCATTGATTTATATTCTGTAGGTATTGTGAAAAGTGCTGTAATGAACATTGGTGTGAAATATTCTTGTCTTTGTTTCTTAGCCTTCACTCCTTCTGGGTATATATTGGATTGAAATCACTGAGTTATAAGTTAGTTATATGTTCAGCATTTCAAGGAATTGCTGCAGTGATGGTGTCATTAGACATTCTCACTAGCAATGGATGAGGTTTCTTGTTGCTCCACAGCTCTGATACCACTTGATATTGTCTGTGCTTTTGAGTATTGCCATTCTAATAGGAGTGGAATTGTGTCTCACTGTTGATCCTAATGATATGGTCATTTACGCATTCGCCAGCTGCTGTTCAGGATAAAGATTGAGGCTCAATGTCAAGAAGACAAAGATTCTCACCACTGGACCAATTGGCAGCATCAGGATGGATGGTGAAGAGATTGAGATTGTACACAGCTTTAGTTTGCTTGGCTCCACAGTCAACAGTCTTGGCACCAGCAGCCAGGAAATTAAAAGGCGCATTGCCATGGGAAAGTCTGCTGTTAGGGACCTCTCCAAAGTACTGAGGAGCAATGGTGTCTCTTTGGAGACTAAGGTGCGTCTGATACAGGCCATGGTCTTTGCAATCACTTGTTATGCATCAGAGAGTTGGACAATGGCTAAGGAGGATAGAAGGAGAATTGATGCCTTTGAGCTGTGGTGCTGGAGAAGAGTATTGAGGGTACCATAAACTGCTAGGAAAACAAACAGATTCATCCTGGAAAGGGTTAAACCAGGTGGCTCCTTGGAGGCAAGGATTCTGAGGCTTCGTCTACCATACTTTG